ACTCAGTAATATTCCAGCTATATGGCGCGGTGAGTGAGTGAGTGAGTGAGATTTAAAGCTACTTTTCACAGTGTTTCAGTCATACATAATGAAATCTAAAAAAAAAGCCTTAAGTGATTCCAGTCAACATCCAAGATTCCCTCTGTGATAAAACCATTGTCTGTCTCACAGTCTCTGCATCATGAATTATTCACATTCCACACAGCCCTTAAATGATGCCAGTCTAATATTCTGCATCTTCCATCACACAAGGGCGCCATTCAATTTAAATGTAGTTATTCTTTTCTATAAAAATCAGATATAATCTGAGACTAAGCTTTAGTCTAAGAGTGAGTGAGCAAGTGAGTAAGTGGATTAAGTTTTATGCCGCACTCAGCAATATTCCAGCATTATGGCGGTGGTCAGTAAATAATCGAGTCAGGACCAGACAATCGATTGATCAACAGTCTAAGAAGTTACCCATGAGGATGCTAGCGTAACTGACAAATGATGATAAACTGCATGACACCTTAGACATCAACACCATGTGTCCAGAGAACCATGACATGTCCAGCATGTCATGTCTTGCAACATGTTCATGTGGGAATAACATGAGACAAAGTAATCTGATGATTCTTTCAAATACAAAAGCATTAAAGGCACATTTGGGAGTACATGCAAGTCAGTGACATTAAAGGAATCTCAATAGAGACAATGTATATAAATAAATAACAATATCACAGCCTGAAACTAAAGTCAACGGTTCCAGGATCTAACACAGTCCCATGGAAACCTGCAATGCCTTGGGATATGATGCTTGTTTTGAGCTGCACTTGAACCATGATCACAGCATCCTGTCATACTCAAGGGAAGCAACTATACACATCAAATTCAATCAAACTACAATTTTCAGTTTCTCTATCCCATAAGCATGAATAACATTGTGCTTTAATTGCATTGAAAGGATCATTTTCTGTCTGTCTTTCCAGTTTACTTGTTGCCCATGAAGATCAGGGGGACCAGTTGCAACAGATGCTTGTCTTCGGAGGCGACAAACAGGATCGAGTGGTCTGGTATGCTAACATGTTTGACACAAGCCATCGTATCCCAACTACGAACCCATGAAGATTCGGGTTAGAACTGGTCTTCGTATCCCAATTGTGAACATTGAGGCTCATTCTGTTAATCATTGGATTGTGTGGTCCAGACTCGATTATTTCAGTCCGTTGCCATATAGCTGGAATATTGCTGAGTGCAGTGTTAAACATCAACCCAACCAACCAAACCAACTAAGAGACCAATGAAGGAAAACCAAGTTCTATGGATAGTCAACTTCTTGCTTGCTAACGGTGTTACTACCTACACCAAAGCGTCACAGTTATTGCAATTAAGAAGTTGACTATCCATAGAACTTGGTTTTCCTTCATCAATCCAACTTCTAAAATGCCTCTCAACTAAGAGACCAAAGCTGATGAGGTCAATTACTGGACTGTCCTATCACGCTGGATTATTACAGACTGTTGTCATGTAGCTGGAGTCCTGCTTAGTGTGGCTTTAACACTTTAATTATATCTAACACCAAACAAATAAACAGTTTAAATTATATCTAACACCAAACAAATAAACAGTTTAAATTACAGTCCGTTTGAGTCAGAAACGGACCGATGAATTGCAAATTTCATCATTGTACAAAATTGCCACATAAATATAAATAGTACACATGTTTATCATTTACTAATACCCAACAGCTTTCTAATATTTGAAAATTTTCCGGACTCCACCAAAAAAGTTGTTTAAGAAACTATCATCATTGAAAAAGCAAAAGTTGTTATCTGTCGCGGCGGGGTGAAACCACAGAAACGGAACAGCCACTGTCTCATCGTGCACGGGATACACATGCCTGATGAAAAATGAAGTTGAATGCTGAAGTGAAACAGTTGATGATTAAAGTGTACGATTTTTTCCGTGCTGAAGCTGAAAGGGGCAAACCATTTTATGCCATTAATAAATTCCGTAAGCAGGCAGCAAAAGCTTTAGGAGTATCAGCAAGGGTACTGACAAATGTTCTGGAACACAAACATTGTGAGGGTGATGCAGAAGCAGGTAGGGGTTGTAATCAAAATCACACAAATTAAAACATTTGGACAACTTTCAAAAGAACCTTGTAAGGCAGTCTATCAACAAGCTCTATTCTGAAAACAAATACATGTCGCTGAAAATTTTTAAAAAGCATTTGAAGCAAGAACACAACCTCAGAGTATCAAAGTACACACTCTGGCGACTCTTACACTCTTTTGGGTATCGTTATAAGAAAATTTCGGGGGAGAATAGGTCAGTACTCTGTGAACGCCCTGATATCGTTCGCTTGAGAAATAATTTTCTCAGGGTTATAAAGAAGAAGCGCGAGGAAGGGTTCGAGCCATCGACTTGGACGAAACCTGGGTCAATGCCTCACACACTGCCAGCAGTCAGTGGGTACCCGATGGGGGTGATAAGGGGTCACGTAGAAAGCTGCTTCTAGGGAAAGGAGAAAGACTAATCATTCTCCATGCTGGTTACTCCAGCAAAGGCTTTCTCCCAGGCTGCGACTTGGTATTGAGGGCAAAGTCCACAGATAACAGAGACTACCATTCCGATGAATGGTGCGGTTTTCCTCGATTGGGTTAAAAACAAGTTGGTACCAGCTCTACCAGAGAAGTCTTTTATCGTAATGGACAATGCCCCATACCACAGCGTGCAGGACCCCGACAGTAAAGCCCCAACATCAAACAGTCGAAAGGTGATATGATATCATGGCTCGACAAATTTCAGATCGCACGGCCTTCAAAGGCAACGAAGCCTCAGCTATATGAGATCATAAAAACCCACAAAGGTGAACCTTTCTACAAAGTTGACAGTTACATAAAAAGTAAGGGTCACGATATTCTGCGACTTCCACCCTATCACTGTGACCTTAACCCCATTGAAATGATATGGGGTATTGTCAAAGGAGATGTTGCCAGATCAAACACAACTTTTAGATTACGTGACGTAGAGGTTTTGGTTAAGGAATCCCTTAACAAAATCAAGACTGAAACTTGGCAAAACTGTGTCAACAAGGTAGCTAACGTCATTGAACAAGGGCACTGGTCTCGGGATGGCTTACAACAGGCAACTGTGGCACCACATGTCATCCCTTTAAGTCGTGACTATGACACTATGACAGACGAGGAACCGACAGGTCTCCCGGAATAGATTTTGAGATGTCCCCCGCCATGACTGGCCGTTCTGTTTCTGCGGTTTCACCCTGCTGCAACAGATAACAACTTTTGCGTTTTCAATGATGATAGTTTCTTAAACAACTTTTTGGTGGAGTCCGGAAAATTTTCAAATATAAGAAAGCTGTTGGGTATTAGTAAATGATAAACATGTGTACTATTTATATTTATGTGGCAATTTTGTACAATGATAAAATTTGCAATTCATCGGTCCGTTTCTGACTCAAACGGACTGTATATCTAACACCAAACAAATAAACAGTTTAAATTATATCTATGACTAGCTTTATAAATTATACATTAAGGTTACAAAACCATGATTTAGAAAATGACCAGGTACAAATTTTTGCTTTGCCAGAACCAACTTCAAAGCACCAGTGGCACATTAAGATGGCAAGACTGCCTCATTGACACACTCTGCACACAGCTGAACTTTATATGAAGAAGACTTCAAGGCATTTCCCCATTGCTGGGACAACTGAAGTCTGTAGCAGACGTGTCCCAGGGCATTACATGGCGATAACATGATGTCAGCATTTACATCGTGAACTAACTAGTCCATATTACTAGCTAGTCAAGAAGTCATTAGAGAAGTCAGCATCCAGATTTCATCATCTTCATGTAAGCAAGACACTGAAACTGACTGCCACAATGTGTGAATGGTTGGAGTCTGTTCTGGGGAAAACATGATAGAAAGTTCAAGAAGATGGCAAGAATTGTTATATATTACCTCTTTCCACAAAATCTGTCTAAAGATCCTATAACATGTAAATTTATAAGGAGAAAAACCCATAATTCAAAAGAAAACCTGGTTACTAATCTGTCAAAAGATCCTTCCCATGCCTATAACATGTAAATCTATAAATACAAAAATTCAAAAGAAAAACTTGTTTTAAGATCCTTTCACATTAAATTATCCTATCAGTTAAAATAACCTTTATATTTACGAAGTATTGTATCTGATAGCTGGTTCCCCATGGAGCTGTCCAAGTTTGAGTGTGCAGTCTAGGGAAAAATTCCGTAAAGCTGAGGTTCCTATCCTTGCCTTATTTCCCTTTTGTTCACATATTCTATGCTACATGTGTGTACCATGTTTCCATCAGATAGAGTGACATGCCCGAGACCATATGGTCCAGTGGTACAGTGGCCTACGGTACCATACTTGGGGGGTACCAAATTGGCACTGTCTGGGATATTCTGGAATTGTGGACATGGGGAATGTCTTGAAGAGTATTGACTTCACCCCGCTTCAGGAATCTGCACCCCAAATGAATCTGCATCATAGGAATCTTTATATCAACAGGAATATGCACTCTTCAATCAAATCTGTACCACTCCAGGAATCTTTACCACAACAGAAGTCTGTTCTACTCCAGGAATCTGCATGTACATTCCTGCTTGTTTTGGGTCAGTATGGCCATGCTGGAATCTAGACCAGGTATTTTCACCAGATGGTTCCCTTGTAAACAAAGATATCAACAAAGATTTTGTTGTTACATTGCCCTCTGACATGAGGGGCTGGGTAAGCAGAGTGAGTGAGTGAACAGAGTTTTACGCTGCTTTTAGCAATATTCCAGCAATATCACGTTGGGGACACCAGAAAAGGGCTTCACATACTGAACCCACGAGGGGAATCGAAGCCGGGTCTTCGGTGTGACAAGTGGATTGCTTTAACCACTAGGCTACCCCACCTCCCCTGTAAGTAGAATATATGAATGATAAATGTGACTAGTGATAACTAACACACAGACATATTATGCACAGGTACTCACTGAGTCTGAGATACAACAGATACTGCATGCTGCGGCGTGGGTGGTTGTCCAGGATGCCGCCTCGCATGCTGATGATTGCGATGAGCAGCTCCATGAAGAAGCACAGCGACAGGATGATGAGGTAACCCAGGACATGGTCGTGGAGGTCCTGTGTGCAGGCCACGTTTCTCTCAAAGTCCACCACACCAAGGATGATGCCAAGGATTATGATCCTGAAACGAAAAAGGAACTTTAATTTCAGGATCATTCAGCAACACAGCTTCACAGGTCGAAACCTGGATTACTGTCAAAGACATTGAAATTGTATCATAGCAGTCATAATGGTTGGATATATTTAAGTCCTATCAAAGCAATCTTAATGGTTGTGTAGTCAAGTCATATCACAGAGTGCTTATGTTATGATGTTTGAGTTTTATCACAGCAGTCAAAAGATGCGGTAGTTATATATTATAGTTATACCACTGGTTGGATATTTAAGTTCTATCAAAGCTAGCACAATAGTTGTATATTTAAGTCTTTTCTAAGCAGTCCTTATGTTGTAATATTTGAGTTATATCACTGCAGTATCAGCAGTCAATTCTAGTCTTCCTCAGCTGTCATAAAGGTTGTATATTTTAGTTATATCACAGCAGTTACAATGACTTCATAATCAATTTACATCACAGTAGTTATAATGGCTGTACAGTTATATCACAGCAGTTGTGACCAGTGATCCTGAGACATCCGCCAAGTTATATGACATGTAATCGGTACTGGGCAGAGGTACTGAGTGACTTGTCAGTCTTGCAGCGTATCATATTGTATGCACAATTTTCTTGTGGAAAATCTGAATGTTTTCATTCAAAACAAAAAACAAACCCTTTTAAGACTATTAATTAATTTCAGGGTCAGTAAAGTCAAGCTGAGCACAAAAGTTAGCCAATTTAGACATGTCCCGCTTCTGGTCAGAATTACAAAGGAAAGCACTGGGGCACCCTGCCACCATTGTGAATCGACCTTGACCTTGCACGCAGTTGAATGTTGTATGGCATATAGATGTCAACAGGTGATTGTTGATACACACCATTGTCTCCCAAACACTGACTCATGAAACCAAATACCAGTGCATGTTAATCATGACATGTTTCAAAACAAATTTGTATTAAGAAGACAAAAACATAAATACTGGAATGAAATATTGCAGTGGTATAATGAAATCTGTCCATTAATTAAATTTTAACTGATCTGACTACATCGATTTTTTATATCTCTTCCTGATGCCCTGAATTAGTTGACAAGGAATGATAAAATTAATATTTTTGCACTTGACACATTTTGTTTCCTAACCAAGTCGGTAACCTTTAGTCATGAACAAAGTCAAGACAAAGATACTGGTCTATTTTCAAATATTGAAAAACCCTTGAAGCTAATGTTAGAAGAGCAAAGAAGAAAAGGTTGTGATGAAACATGCTTTTGGCGTCAGTGGTGGACCATCTTGGATTTCAGGCAATGTACAAGGTACAATATACAAACCTACAAGATGAAGTTCAACATCACAAAGTGATATGGATACCAACCTCTTTTTATTGTATGCACAACGTTTCTGGGCTTCTGCTTGCCCCTTTCTCAGGTGAATGATGTCATTCACCTGACAAAGGGGCAAGGAAAAGTCTAGAAATGTTGTGTATACAATAAAAAGAGGTATATATTGTCTTTAACTTGAATACCAACTTCTATATGCCTCTCAAAACCCTCATCACTATGTGGTCAGTAACAGAGTTGCATCCCACTGCTGTGACAGGATCTGCTGAATGTTGGTTTGATTCCTCTTTCATTACGTTGACAAAACTGAAATAATGATTGATTTGATTACCTTAGTCTCTCCTGAACTTTTGAAACCTAAGAGAACATTGATTGTAGAGATACAGATATTTTTTTCGTTTTATGCCAAAATCACCAGCTTCTAGTTATATGACAGCAGTGTGCAAATAATCACGTTTAGATCAACCAATTCAGTGATTGACTTCATGAACACTGTCCCATCCAATTTGAATATGATGACAAGCACAAATCAAGTCAGTCACACTGGCTATCCAATCCATTAAATTGCCAAGCATCATCAATGGTCCTTTAGGAATTTTATTCTTACCATGGATCCAAATAGGTGGATAGATAAATAATTATGTAACTATCTTTCAGACAGACACATACTAACAGACTGAGGGAGTATGGTTTTATGCCGTTTTTAGCAATATTCCAGCAATATCATGGCGGGGGACACCAGAAATGGGCTTCACAAATTGTACCCATGTGGGGAATAAAACCCAGGCCTTCGGCGTGACAAGGGAACGCTTTAGCCATTAGGCTACCCCACCGCCCCGGACACAGACAGACTGGTAGTTACGTAAATGTAGATGGGGATAAAGCTGCATCAAATGATCCAGTAGAATTATAATGGGAGTAAACTTCAATCAACTCAATAAATAACCAATTAAAAAATACCCTTCAACACTTCAGAAGATCAGCAATTTTAACAAGCCCAATTGTATCTCCACATTATTCAGCCTTCCAGCTGGAGCTGACTGTTTTGTCTTTCATGTCTATCTGAGTCTTGAGAACCTTAAACTGATAAAGACCCTCCATGCACCTAACAACCCACAATGAGATTACCAAACCCCACAGCAGGAGCATAATGAATGGATCCAGCCAACAAAATGAACATAATTGAATTCTATTCCCAAAATAATAGTCGCTGGTAAAGTGGAGGATGTTTAGAGCAGTCTTATTACGTTAGATTTAAGCTCCTTAAAATGTACAAAAGGGTAACATCTGCTGAAAATATGTTCCAGTAACTTGCAATTCTTGACAGAAATACAAGCACCTGCTTTAGCAGGTTGAGACGTATTAGCCCATAGTGGACATGTTTGTAAGCACACTTACTCTAAATGTGATCAGTAAACATCAATAATAGCTTCAATCCCCACAACAGCCTTCTCCCATATGCAGCATTGCCTTGAGGGTTTAGTTGTGTGGAGATAATCGAGAGCTTCCCTAGCCATATGCTTCTATAGTAGACTCTGGTAATGGTGGGTAATGGCCGACTCCCGTGTCTCTCTTCACCATGTAGATGGGGACCACAGGATACACAGGTCGTCTGACACTTAGTCCAAGAAATTATGTATTTATTTAAAATTTATAAAAGCAAAATTAAAATCTGAACCAAATGGAGCCCAAGGTCCCAATCCACAAAATGTTCATAAATCTATAATGTCCGATTGAGCCTATGATAAACTAGAGAGTTACGACAGGTTACAACATTACAAATGCTTTGTGGAGCAGGATCCAGGAAAATGCTTAATTTCATGCTTACAGGTTATCTGGACTTGAAAAAATCGTTTGGATTCCTGTTTTAATTCAGTCCCTTAGGTCTGGGAGATGGCATCATGAAATATATATCTATTGACAAATAGCCTTATGAAAGATGAAGAGGAACACGTTTTATGGATAGACAACTTTTTATTGCAGCAGATACGACGTTTCGGTGTAGATCCGTTATCAAGCATCATTTGGTTGATAATGGTGTTAGGATCTACACTGAAACGTCACATCTACTGTAATAAAGAAGTTGTCTATCCTTAAAAAGTGTTCATCTCCATCATACCAGCTTCTAAATGCCACGTAAGGAAGCTTATGAAAGATGTCAGTATATAAATGGGAGATTCTGTACCTGTGGACAATCTTCACTTGGATCACTTAGCTCTGAAGCATTACAGTAAGGAGTGAGTGAGTGAGTGAATTTAGTTTTAATCGTACTCAGCAGTATTCCAGCTGTATGGCGGCAGTCTGTAAATAATTGAGTCTGGACCAGACAATCCAGTGATCAACAGCATGAGCATCGATCTGCACAATTGGGAACCGATGACATGTGTCAACCAAGTCAGCGAGCCTGACCATCCGAATCAGTTAGTCGGCCTTTACGACAAGCATGGGTTACTGGAGACCAATATTCTAACCCGGACCTTCACGGGTCCATTACAGTATGGGTTGGGTGGAAAGGTAAATAATGTGTAGACTGACCACTATTGTACCAGTAGTCACGATTTGTAGGCTCAAAACATCCTACAACTATGATGTGATAACAGATAGAAATCAATGTAATCAGAGAAAACACTGCCTAATGGACTGAGATGAGCTGATATGAGCTGAGCTGGAAGTACAAACCAGCTAATGCAGAAAGAATACCAATTCTTCAGTTAGCTTCTGTAAAATGTACATCTATGGAGCAGGCCGGCCATGGTAGAGTAACTCAGCTGCTCTTCTTCGTAACAGCGCAACTTGAGTCAAGTTTTGTGTGTCTGATGCAAGAAATAGTGCACAAATAGCCAGAACAAAAGCTTCATTATTGGTATACTTTCTCCAGAAGATGCTGAATGCCTGCTTCAGCGATAATAATCAGACTTGCTGTTCCTTCCACGTAGCTAGAGTGTAGAACATGCCAACCCATCTGAGGTTCTTAAATCCAGAAGATGTATTGCTCATTCCTGACTGCTGAATTCTACCTTTAAAAATTTATCACGTACATAAATGAAAAATGGTTCCATCTTAAGTCAAATTACCAATAAAATAATATAGAAAGCACCACAAATGTCTCTAAATGTTGACTCTGCATTCCAAATATGATTTGATTTGTAACCCATGTGCAAAATTGCTGAGTGTCAAATAGCCAAGACCTGTGAAGATCCGGGTTAGAATTGGTCTTCAGTGAAGCATGTTTGTCATAACAAGACATATCATCGTATCCAAATTGCACAGATTGATGCTCATGCTAGTGATCACTGGATTGTCTGGTCCAGTCTTGATTATTTACACACCATGGCCATATAGCGGGAATATTGTTGAGTGTGGTGTTAAACAACAGACCAACCAACCCACTCAAATAGCCGAAAATATAGACCCCAAAATCCCACATACTGAAAAGGCATGGTCTTAGTATGAGCACAAGAGGGGTGCAATGCAACCTTGTGACAAACTGAGTTATGGGAACCAAAGCTAAAATGGCTAAAAATAACACAGAAATGCAGCTAAAATGACAAAGTGAATACAATGAATATTCACTACTGTAAACCAAACTTATCTAGTCAACTTATGTATGGAATGCCCTTTGTAATGTAAAAGAGTGGTGGTATAGGTTCCAGATTGTCTGTGAATGGTTATTAAACATTGTACTTCTCTC